AATGGTTGTGGCGCTTTGCTGGAGCGGCATAGTTGGTGGAGGGACCTAATTTCAATCAAATTTCGCAGTTGAACTTCAGAGTGGACTTTAGGTGATAGCCAGAGGAGTGTGGGATGTAGTCCATGGCTTCAAATTATCAAGTTGAAAGGTGAATTCTGGAAGCTCGCGCAGATTGCTCAAGGAAGTGGTTCTTGGACCTCTTTCTGGTTCGATGTTTGGATTAAAGGTACACACCTCACAGATTTTACCCCAAGCGTATTGATTGCTATAGAATTCCCGAGCTCCTGCATCGCTGACTATTACAAACTTGATGGTGTGGGAATTTTGTGGGATGTTCCTTTAAAATTTTCTTTGCGGAATGGAGCTGGCGTGAGACACAGAGATTGTTCGCTTTGTTGCAAAACCTCCCTTTGTCTGATTTTGTTGCAGGAAATGAAGGGTTGATCTACTATCCTTCTCCATCAACTTGGTTCACGTTTTATTCGGCTTACAACCACCTTATTGCGGAGAGATTTCCTGGCTCTGCAGATTTCCCGCACAAGTTGATTTGGAAGCATCTTATTCCAAGTAAAATTTGCTCTTTCCTTTGGCTGGTGTTTCACAAGCGGATACTAACTCACGAAACCTTAAGAAGAAGGGCATGTACCTGCCCAGCAGGTGTGCCCTATGCATGCAAGAAGAAGAGACCAGCAACCATCTTTCCATTGACTGCATTTTTCACTCGGACGTTTGGAATACCCTGTGTTTCTTTGTCAACATTGATAATGATAGCAATAGGATTGGAGATATTTGAGAAAGAATCATGCATTGGAAGCATCAAAAGCCAGCGGATCCCAGACAGTGGTGCTCAAATGTATTACTTCATGCCTTTGTTGGAACGTTTGGTTGGAGAGAAACTTCAAAATCTTCAAAGAGACAGAGTCCCCCTCCAGGCATATTGCGTATAAAATTGGTCGTGATGTGTGTTCTTGGTTGGTGGCTTCTCGGAAAATTGACAGAGAAATGGCAGAAGGATGGTTGAGAATGATGAAGACAAGGCTCTTCCCCTAAAGATCGGTTGAGCATTCACTGTTTGAAGTTCAAGGGTCCCCTGCTTAATCTGGCGAATCGGCATCTGGTGCACTTCTTGATTCTGCAAGCACTTCTTTTTGCCTCTCAGAGGGTGGATGTTGCTCTATCGTCGAGTCGCTTTTCAGTACTGCCTCTTCTATTTCTCGGGTTTCTATGTTTTTCTTAGCATCCCTGGGTTGTTTTCTTCACTTTTGGTTTTTTCGGCTCAGCCCTTTTCTGTTTCCTTTGTTCCTGTTGTTCTTTCTTTGTCTCGACCTGACTTAGGGGTTTGGAATCTTGCTCCATGGCCCCCTGTTTCTCAAACATATTTATCATCATGGTATAGAGGAAAACATGTATTCGAGCTTCTAGTCAAAATCCTTGGGAGCAAGAGTATTGTGTCCTGCTTTAGTAGTTATTTTGTATGTGTAACTATTCTATGTTCAATGAAAATGTACATCACAATGCAATAGTGCAACATAATAAAACCGGCATTGACTAATTATTTATATAAATCATTGAATGCTCCCTTATCTATTATGTGATTTGTAATTGTTTTATGTTTTATTAGTACTCAGGAACTTCAGCCCCACGTGCCACTTTGTGAGGGCGGGGGCTACTAAAGCTGAGGGTCATCTGCAATCTATTTTGATGCCAACATGGCTTTGTCCCTGGCAGGCTCATACCTCTAGTAACACCAACGAGTCTTGCTTGGATCGAACCTAGGATCTCCAACTCCCAAGCTTTCACTATCGCGGCAGCTTGACTCACACGAAACTACACCACGAATTAATCCCGACTAGAGCCCAAGTTTTAAACTCTAGCCGAGTGTAGTATAGGGCAAGTATTTAATTGTCAAACCTGGGCCGGTCCATGTAATCCTACTTCAATCGCTTAGGTTGTTATCTAGCAAAAGTTTTTTGGTTTAAAGCTTAGAAACCTAGAAATGAAAACAAGCAAGTAAAGTAAATTGAGGTTGTCCCAATGAGATAAGAGTTCACCCGGGTGTTGCTCCCCCTAACTAGCAATTACGACTTGATGGATCGAATGGCCATGTGTGGTGAGGGGGTTGTAAACTGCTGGGAAGTCTAACAAGCAGCCGAAACTCCCCTCTTAGCCACTAGGTTGAGGAATGGGATACGATCTAAGCCACGAATGTGACCCTCTCAACCTATCGACTAAGGAATGGTTAGACTTCACCCTCGAATTAGTGTTTGGACGACCACCCACAACCAAACCCTAAGTGCTTAATACGAAAGAGGAGGTTTTCCCATTAACTAACCTAGAATAGGAGGCATAGAATGCCCAAGAGAACCCATCTCTACTAGAGCCTATTAGGTTAAAGAGGGTTCTCTCTAAACTAGCTTAGGAGGCATTGAATGCCCAAGGAAACCCAACCCTAATAGAGCCTCTTTGGAAACAAAGGAGGTTTCCGCTCTAAACTAGCCTAGAAGGCATGAATTACCCAAGAACACCCATCTCAAATTGAGCCTCTTAACCTAAGGAGGTCTCCTCTCTAATCTAGGTTATAATGGCAATTAGAGTGATAGGCTTTCACACAACACAATCATTCATAAATAATACCTCCACATTCACATTAAACACAACCACACACAATTCATTCAATTCATACAAGCATTCACATAATTGTACCTAGGGTTTACAAACACCCAAGTGAATAGGTAGGCTATTCCATAGATAGGCAAAGGAAAACAAAAAAGAGGAGAGAAAGAACCATGAAGAGATGACAATCTTCTTTCCTCCTTGCTAGAATCTCCCTTGAGAGGTAAGAATCCTCACTCCTCTAGATCTCCTTTTTCCTCCTTTGAATGGCACTCTATCTCTCTAGAATAGGAAGAGGAAACCATAATCTCTCACTAGAAACCCTCCTTTATTCTACACACTAAAAACCTACCAAAAAGCTCCATTTCTTCCTCCTTTCAGCTCTCAATTTATACTAAAATCGCACCCAGTTCACGACCTGAGTTCACGGCCGTGAACATCAAAACGCGTCTGTGAACGCAGTGTCTAGACTACAATGCACCACTTCACATCCTGGGGTTCACGGTTTGTGGTTACAGTTCACGGTTTTAGCGACCGTGAACTGCCTTGGCGTCAGTAACCTCAGAAGCCCCTCTGGACGCTCCGCTGTTCACGACTTGTGGTTCCAGTTCACGGTCCTGTCGACCGTGAACTCGCAGCTCCGACCGTGAACTGCGGCTGGTTCCTGGACGCATGTGCTTCACGGTTACGGACTTTTCTTCTGTTTTTGCGCTTTTTGACCTCCAATCGTCCCGATACTCATCCTCGACCCTTCCACACGTGCTAGGACGGTAGGACCTTAAATTTATCATAACCAGCACAACCTAGCGTGAAAAATGTCGAGGGACGATGAAATGCAAAGTCAAACTATCAAGAAATAAGGGGCAAAATGGGTACAATTGGACTCGAATCACAACTTTACCGTTAGGCTATCTTACCCTTGGTGTAATTGTTCTATGTTCAATGGAAAAAATGATGGTAATCAAGTACCGGAATATAAGATGTTTGTTCTTTTATTGTGTTGGTGAGTAGTTTTCGTGTTAAAAGTTATATAAATAATCATAACTAGAGTTGTATGATATTCAATGGAAAAAATCATGATATTCAACTATCAGAAAACAATATAAAGTAACTAAACAGGTTTTCATTTTCAGAATTCAATTTCAAAACTCACTAAAATTCTCAGCTAAACAAAAAAAAATTTCCAGATTTTGTTTCTCAGGAAACAACTTCTTCTTTTCATTTTAATTAGGGAAAACGGAGTGGCACTGAAAAAGGCAGATTAGCACACTGAAAAAGACTGCTCACTAACTGTTGTCAACAACCGCAACTTAGCTTAGCTTAGTCGAGTGACTGATTGACAAAATAACAAACCAACAACGAGCGAGAGAAGGAGAGGACCTCGAAGAAGAGCAATAGTTCAAATCTGTCAGAGATTGGTATTCCCTGGCAATTTCAAGGTACCCAGCAACACCCCGTCTTCTCCGTCTCCATCGGAAGCCACAATGGCGCCGCCATCTCTCTGAGAAGATTTGGCGACTGCCGAGGCTGCAGATTTGGCTTACCCCAAACGTCAGCTACTTGTTGGTAAACCGTTACAAAACCGTTGGTAAACCGATGATAGAACCTATAACATACAAAACTTGTATATTACACTAATTTAACAATGAAGTTATCATTGATCATAAACAATTTTAAATTCATATCATCTCCAAAATATCTAATAAATCATTGAAACCGTCTCATAAGTTTTTTAATTCAAGTTAAAAATTATGGTGTCTGTTGGTAGCGGATCACGTAAAAACGACAAGAAGATTGAAAAATGAGAAGACGTATATATCATGGCTTGATGGTTTTAGTATACGTTAAAGCATTTTTTAAAACTTTTATGTTTAAAATAGTTAACTAGTTGATTAGTTAAACCGCGTGGTTGATCTAGTTTTATGTTGAACCGTGAAAAATTGTTTGGTCCATCAATAACCATTCAAACACTGAACCGGACCGCTATCATAACTGATTTGACCATTCTACTGGCCAAATCGTTGATCCAATTCGGTTCTAACAATGCATTAAACCCATACAATTTCGTACAAACTTGATCATCGATATATATGACTCAATCAGACAAGTCTTGCCATTACAATTAGAAGAAAAAGGAAGTCGGAATTAACACTCAAAATCCACAGCACAATACAAGGAGAAAAGCAGTAGTATAGGAAAAATGTTTCATGCATGGTCTACAATTCATTAAAGTTAAGTTGTGGTTAGAGTTGAGATTCTATACACAAGTAAAAGTTATAACAAACCAACTAATTGTTACAAAATGAAAAATAACGTCACAGACATAATGGAGCAATTTAAACACAGGATGCTGGTCTTGCTGCTGCTCCTGGCCCGCTCACTCGCAACTATGTGAAACAAGCTTCAAGCTTAGGAAGGAGACTTCGCCAAGCATCTGCAATATTATTAGCAAGTCGTGCCTGCCCCTTTGCAAATTCATGGAATGCTCTTCCCATGTCGATCATCTTCTGATCTTGGAAACGTACAATCTCTTCATTCATTAGTCGGACAATGCTCTCAAATCTTCTAGCAGCTTCTTCGCTATCTTCCTTCAACTGAATCGGAACGTTAAGAGTTTTGTTAGATATAAGCCCAAAAGCTCGAGGGAGTTCAAAATGGAAGATGATGCAAGTTCACTGCTCACCTCTCTGTACTCGATTTCAGCTTCCCCCACTCTGTCTGATCGTGTCAGCATAAGCTTGTCTCTGCAAAGTGCAGAAAGGAACACTATAAGAACATGTGTGACTACCCCTTTCAAGTTATGCCCGAGCTCATAAAACTAATCCAGCTAAAAAGGTCCGAAAGAAAGAGAGAGCACAGGGGGCATACAGATTTATCTCCTTCAACTTCATTGTTTCAGCCAGTTCACATTGTTGCCTGAAGGCATTGGCTCTTTCAGCAATAGTTGCCTGTCCAAGTCGAAAGCACTAAGATGATCAGTTTCCATGAAGAATATGGATTGGACTGAAGGCAGGCATAAAGACACCAAAAGGGAACTGCAACTGCATGGGCAGCCCACCTTTATTGACTGCACCGCACGGACATAGTCTTTCAAAGGTTCTTCAAAATTCATTAGGAGTTGATGGGCCTGCAAATTTGCGAAGACATGGATCTGAATACACATCATTCTTAGGGCACAGCAACACGCGAAAGCTGAACTCTAAGTCTTACTTCCTTCTGCAGCCGGATTGATAAAGTCTCTGATTTAGCCCCAAACTCAGTTAGTGCTTTTCCAAGACCATCTGCTTCGCAAGCACCAAGTAGCTTAGCTGCCTTCCCGAAATCCGATAGTGATTGTCCCAATTCTGAGTAAAGAGAATTATCCAATTCAAATTGCTTACTTCCCAATGAAATACCAGATCAGAAGCTATCAAAATGCATTGCTACAACAGTGGCATGACACAAGTGCACTTAATAAGTTTACCTCTGTGGCGCTTCACAAGCCGATATGCGTGTTTTTGAGCCTCAGCCAAGTGGTTTTCAAGCTCAAAGATGTAATGCTTCAGCTTTTCATAGTCAGGATTTGATTCTTCAACTGGTTTCTCCTTCCCCAACACGACATCACTCACTCTAGATTGCACATCCTGTAAATCAGTTAGAACAATCATCCAGCATCAAACATTCATTAAACTGGTTCAATACCAGAATTTGCACACAGCCAGAAGCATTCAGATTATGATGAATGAACATTAAATATGGTCACACAACTGCAACAGCATGCCTGTCAACTTAAGTAGTCCGTAAATAGATTTACAGGGACTTTAGTCGATAAACACTGGAAGTATATTCATGTTCATCACCAACTGATTCGTGTGAGTATATGACAAAGAACTCATCGTACCTTGAAGATTTGCAACAAGTCTGCTGGCTTCTTCTTAAAATAACTCGACTCGTGAGCTCTTAATCTTTCCATTGTCTGAAAAAGTACACATCTTTTAATTAAATTTAGTTGGCACATTTTCAGATTTGGACACATTATAAACGAAGTTGGACTGTCTTGTTAGAAGACTAAATAGTCTATAACCCACTAACATAGAGTATCACCTCTTCCTCTGCCTGTAAAAAGGTTTTCAGATCCTCACTTTGCTGAAGTTCCTGGTGAGAGGCTATCCGGTTAACAAATACGTCCAATGCCTGACGCCTCATTTCAATAAATTCAGCACTGAAGCGGAACTTTTCTGTCATATAAGTGCTACCATTAGTACTTTCTATAACCAAGTTCCAAAATGATAATAAATAATCCCGAAAATCACCACTGTTTCCATGCTAAGTTTGGGAAACCTAACACCAGTGTGCTAGAAAATCCGCTATATTATTCAAGAAGCTTCTACATCCCCAAATGGGTTCAGTGCCAATATAGAAAGATAATAAATTTCCTTCACCCGAAGAGACTCGGCCGAGCGCATGAAAATTATAAACCATAGAAAGAACATGGACTAGATCCATTCTAAGACTCTTTCCTAAAAGGAAGACGCAAGTGCAGTAACATATCTATATAATCACTTGTTTCACTCCCAGTAAAACTAACTTAAAGGGAAAAAATAAAAGTTGACAAACTGAAACACAAACCTGATGTAGTTGCAGTCACTTACTCACTAGTTGCTATTAAGCTTAAATTTTGACAACAAAAGACAGCACGATGTAGAAACCAGAAGTTTAATGAATTCTTACCTACAACACTCTTCTCTGGTAGAGGAGGAATGAAAACTCCTCTATACTTCTCAAAAAGACGATCATGTAACCATACAAAATCGCTGTACCGCCGAATGACAATTTTTTCAGGTCCTTGGTAATCAGGCAGATTCGTCTGCCAGGAGAATGAAACACAGCACATTAGGCTAATTTTCCATATGCGCCAAGGAACATTGAAACAATGCCACAGACAGATATCTTGAAACCTATATCATCCACAAGACGCCGAAGAAGAAAGAAATTGTTCAATGATGTTGACAGGATGTTAATTATGATCATAACGTAATCGTTGCAATAAAAAACAGCCCCACAGTATCACAATCCCTAGAATCTACACACGTAATTTGCTTAAAACGTCTTCTACCATGTACATCACTTGTAGTCATTGGCAGAATTAACACGATGAAGGAAACGCAACAGAAATAGTTAGCATAGCCTCGTTGTTCGTAACTAATCCACGAAACATCAGCTCACTGTATCGAACAGAATCGATGCTACTCGTAGAGATCTATGAAACGCACTACAAAAATCGCTAATCCAGATCTCCAGAGAAAGCGATTCACAAATTAAAATTCGTGAACCTGCCACTACGATTACCGGGAATGGACCTATAGCAATAAGAGATTGGTCGAGAATCCAGAGGATTATTTACCTTGGTGATGACTCGATACGAGATGTAAGCCTGAACGCCATTGCCTAACTTGACGGGGTCGGTGACGGAAACTGATAAGTAAGGTTGCGAGGATGGAGATCGAGGGCTGTGGGAGTAGCCGGAGGAACTCCTCTGCTGCTGGTCCATCTAGCATCAACGAAGAGAAAAGCGGTATCAAACGGACGAATCACCTAAAGAGAGCCTTGGAGGAGCGAAGATTGTTAACTGCCAGGTCAATCCAGTCCAGAGGAAATGTGGGGGCGATGGCAGAGTCGTTATTTACCGCGGTCATCATGGCCTAATGTTTAACGTGGACGCTGCAAACCAAGGTTGTCAAACCGGTTTATACCGTTGTGCTGGTTTGGCAAGTGGAATGGTACGACCGTTGGTATAACCAGTTTGTGCCGGTTCATGCCGGTCTAAAAAAATGTGAAAACAATTAATATCTAATGTATTTAATCTTATATAAAACATATTTGTGGACAATTTAGTTACAATCCAACAAATATCATCAACTTTTAACTATTACATTCATAAAATTCATTAAAATGATGTCATTTTACTTAGAATGCGTAAGTCGATCATACCGATCATACCGGTGGTGTCATGCCGGTTTCATGACCGGCATAGGTTGAACCAGGTTCAACCGGGTGGCATGCCACCGGCATGACAACCATGCTGCAAACAGTGTTTTCCTTTTGTTTTTTTATATTAAGCTACTGCTCGCCGTAGCCAGTTGGCGGTTGTGCGCGATTGCGTTGCGGCTAGGACTAGGAGATATGGGGCAGCCGCCGATGGCAGCTACCGGCAATTGATGTCAACACAAGCGAAGACAATTGAGCAGTCCGGTGAGGATCAGACGATTCGGAGGAGCAAACAATCCGAATGGCGGCGAGGGTTAGAAGTCCGAATTGGGGTTTTGCTGGTCAGGCTTATTAACCTGCAACATGCTATATAGCTAATCTGCTGACAGGTTAAATTGTTCGGACCAATTCCAAAAATACATATGTTTTTAAAAAAAATTCTCAAAATATACACGTTATAAAAAAAATTCTCAAAATACACATGTTTGGGCATCACCGCTGTTGTCAACCGCAGTGAATACATTCACCGCGGCAGACCAAAGCGGTGAATGCATCACCGCGGTGCATGCCCGACTTAACACTAAAACTTCAAACAAACGTAACTTTGCGCTCGGTTATCCGATTGTAACGAAAAAAAATTCGATCCATATAACTTTTCAAGATCTTTCTATCTGCAAGAAGACTTCATCTCAAAAAATTGTCTTTTGTTACCCCGAACGAGCAATTTTTCGATTTTGCCAAACTTTGAAAGGACATAAATTTTAGCTCCTCAATCCGAACGTCATAAAGTTTTTTTCTATTGCGCATAACTTTTTAAGAACTGCAACTTTGACTAGGAAATAATTTTTTTAAAAAGAAGTATTTTTGGGTATACGGGATTTTGGGAATAACTTTGCCTTTACTTTTCACAAATCCACATACTTTCCAAAATTATGGTTATAATCAAAGTTGTAGTACTTCAAAAGTCATGCAAAATCGAAAAAAGTTTCATGACATTCGGATTGTGGAGCACAAAGTTATGATCTTCCAAAGTTTGTCAAAATCGAAAAATTGCTCGTTCGGGGTAGCAAATGATTTTTTTTTTGGGGATGAAGTCTTCTTTCAGATTGAAAGATCTTGAAAATTTATGTGGAATCAAAAAAAAATTTCGCTACAATCGGATAACCGAGCGCAAAGTTACGTTTGTTTGAAATTTCAGTGTTACGTCAGGCATTCACCACGACCGTCAACAGCGGTGATGCATTCACCGCTTTGGTCTGCCGCGGTGAATGCATTCACTGCGGTTGACAACAGCGGTGATGCCCAAACATGTGTATTTTAGGAAAAATTTTTATAACGTGTGTATTTTGAGAATTTTTTTTTAAAACATGTATATTTTAGGATTTTTAGTATATACTATCAGGCCTGGATGGCAGGCCATGTCGTCGAGCCGTGTGATCGGAGGATAGTGGAGCAATGGTGTCGGAATATGAGAGGGAGGAGCGGTTGATCGGCTCGGCTAGCCCAAGCCCACTCTTCGATTGCAGAGAAAAGTGGGGCCCAAAAATTCGTTTTATTTAGTCTTTTCTTCTCTTCTCTCTCCATCATTTCATTTGTTTACTTTCTCTTTCCTCTCCAATTTCTTCATTTTCTTTCTCAAAAAAACCGGGTTAATTGCATGATTGGTCACTGAGATTACAAAAACGTTAAAGTTTGGTCACTCGAAATATTTAAATCCATTGGTGGTACTTTAGTTTATTGAAACCGTTCACGTTTGGTCACTCTCCATCCAACTCCGTTAACTTTTGCTTACGTGGCGGTCAACTCTAAAAGTTGACCATTAAGTGTGTGACGTGGCAATTTAAAAATAATAAAAATAAATTTTTAAAAATTATTATCTCATTTCCACCTCATTATTACTTTTATTTAAAATAAATAAAACCCCCCAATTTTTTAAAATCAACCCTTTGTAAGTCTGTGTCGAGTGGCACTATAGCTCCTCATAATTTCAAACTAGCTCTGAAGGTCAGGGATTCTTTCTGGCAACTGCAACTTGAAACTAAACTGCATTTCTTGATGAAAGTAAACCAAGGTACGAAAAATGTATATCAAGTAACCAACTCAGGTGCTCAACCTTGTAAGTCTCTGTTAGAGAACCGGGAGCAAGCCAAAATCCAACCCCATAGATAGAAGCACTGAAGTTAATAAATTAGCAGCAACCAACACCCAACCATGGAGCAATTTCTGTCTGTCAAGTTAGCAGCACCGCCAGCTTTTGAGCTCCGTAAGCCTTTCTTTAAATCACTCACTCTCTTCACACAAGCCGCCTTCGACTTCCCAGGTACTGTCGCAGCTACCTTATCCCATCTCATCACTACATCTTTGGGAAACGCTTTCAACGCATTCAGCAAAGCAATATCCTCGCCGGAACTCCATGCGATGGCCGCCATCCCTCCGCCAATGTCGTTATCAGCTCCACCTTCGTCCATCTCTGCAGCCTTGACTTTGGCGTCGACTGGCTTCATGTTCTTCAAGAACTTAGCGTATGAATCGTTGTCATCCGATTTCTTCTCACCACGTCCCAGACCGCACCCCGACTCATATTAAGGCGGTGCATGTCCACGAGGGCGATTGGGATTGTCATGACACCTTCAAATTCTGGATCTACACATGCGGTAATTACACACATATATGAGTATTTTTATAACGCTTGGTACTCTATTTTTTCATACTCTGTTTTTTTATCCCCTGTTTTTCATTCTGTACGGGGGAAAACAGAGGGGAAGCTGGAGGTGTTCAAGGAGAGAGTGGAGTACGACGATGCCAAGAAAAAAGTGAAGTTGAATGGGCTGGACGGGGATGTGATGAAGCTGTACAAAGTGTACAACGTAATCTATGAATTTGTGGCCAAGGAGGACGACAATGGAGAGGGGAAGCCGCAGGGGGTGGCCAAACTGACGATTGAATATGAGAAGCTGAAACCAGAAGTGCACATCACTCCACGCTTTCTTTTATTTATTTTAAATGAAAGTGATAATGAAGTGGAAATGAGATGCTAATTTTAAAAAATTTAATTTTATTATTTTTAAATTGCCACGTCACACACTTAACGGTCAACTTTTAGAGTTGACCGCCACGTAAACAAAAGATAACGGAGTTGGACGGAGAGTGACTAAACGTGAACGATTTCAGTAAACTGAAGTGCCACTAATGGATTTAAATATTTCGAGTGACTAGACTTGAACGTTTTTTACAATCTCAGTGACCAACCATGCAATTAACCCCCAAAAAACCTTTCTGTCGAGGATTGAGAGCAACACGATGGCGGCGACGAGGGATACAAGGAAGAAGACGAAAACGGGAGGAGAAGCTATTGGTGTTTGGCGACTATGGTAGCGGTGGTAGTTCCTCACGGTAGCTGTGCTTGAAGAAAGAAGACATCGGCCGAGCAAGAAGGAAGAAGACGTCGACGACGCCGGCTGCGAATAGAAGAAAGTTGTTCAGGTAGGTGTCTTCCTTTCTCCTTATTCATTGATTCGATTGTATGGTTTCATGGATTCTATTTTGGGGATCTAGGATTCGATTTGGGGGATCTAGGGTTCTGTGCGCCTAGGATCTGGGATTCGATTTGGGGAATATGGGATTTTATTTAACTGAGATCTCGGATTTGAGATTAGATCTGGGATTCTGTGCGGCTGGGATCTGGGACCGATTTGTGGATCTGAGATTATATTTGGGGATCTTGGATTGGATTTGGGGGATATTGTCTGATTCGTGGATTAATAGTTCATTTCATGGTGGATAACAGTTAGCAGGTCTGGGTACTACTTTTGATGATGTGGATATTTTTCTGAAATTGATTGTTTGGATATTAGTTATGTGATGTTTGAATATATGTCTACTGTTTTGATATTTCTCTGCCCTATATGGTTAATGTTGATATTTGTTATGTCTGATTCCTGGAATAATAGTTCGTTTCATGGTGGATAAGAGTTAGCAAGCCTTAGATACTACTTTTTGATGATGTGGATATTTTTCTGTAATTGATTGTTTGGATATTAGTTATGTGATGTTTGAATATCTTTTTACTCTGTCTGTATATTTCTCTGCCCTATATGGATGTTAGTTCACTTATATTAGTTCTATGCGGTTGAGATATCTTTTATACTATGTTTGGATATTTGTTCGTTGTCTCTGGATATCGATAATATTAGTTCTATGTTATCTAGATATTGATAATATTGTGCATGGATATTTGTTTGCATTATATTCAATAGTTGTCTGTGTTTACCGGATATTTGTCTGTGTTACATGGATTTTGCACAATGGCAAGAACTAAAGCATTTGTAAATATATCACGACTAGGAGAATTTAGGACCATGACCCATTAACTTTTTTTAGCACAATGACATCTTTCATTTTCTATATAGAAGTAAATAATTATCATCTTAAATACATCACCATAAAAGGAATTAAGCCTCAACTATGCAAATTACAGTTTTGTACCTAAACTTAAATAGATCTTTAGATTTATAACCTAAATTTATTTTGTTGGCATATAAGTCCACAAAATATTGATGGAACATTATATTTTAGTATCTAAATTTTTTGTGTATTACATTTTGGTACCTAAACTTTTGAGGTTCAAAAAATAGGTCTAATTTTTGAATGTATAATTAAAACACCCTAGAATAAATGGGTATCCATACCCAACTCATACACATTTAGATTATGGAAGTAAATATTCATACCCTACCCAAATCCATCTACAAACGTCCAAACCCATATATATGTAATGCATTCCCTACCGATAATCAATGGGTGTACTTGGGTTTAGGTAAATATCATTTACTAGCCGAAATTTTCAAAAACATTTAAATTGGATGTTGGCCGCCATATATCTCTTATCAGTCAATATCATATTGCCAAGTCAATATTACTAACAAAACTGCTAACAAAAAATTAATTTTAGGCTAATAATACTAACAAAATATCATAACGGGTCACATAATACATACCCATAGGCCATCTCCGCCACGCGACATGTCGCGGTATCGCCACCTAGTTCTAGTTAAATATTTATCCTTTTTGCTTTTTATAAGTTCCGCATACTGCACGGTATAATTAAATATTGATTCCATAGTTTATGGAGACACATTTACTAATTTGTCTCCAAAATTACTTAAAATGGTATTTACGGGAATGAAATGAAACTAGTGTCTCCTATATTTGTTTCCTATGCTTATTAATTTTGTAGATCTATACTAACAATTCGAATTATTCGTAGCAATGGGCTGATGTCTTTGATGACACATTTTGGTGTTCATTTCAAGTCTTTGCCGCCAGCAGACAGCCACGTATGACTTTTCTGGATTTCGAACAGAGATAATCGATCAGATAAGAATTGTTTTAACTAGCAGCCTCATTTTTCGTCAGGAAAAAACTAGCAGCTTCATTACAATCCAACCATCCGCACCAGCAAAACATTAATGAGATAGCGAGGGATATGAATTTTAGTGGAACGTGTCTGCAACGTAGTCTAATCAGAGGGCGGCATAGGGTTAGGCTAGTTGGCCACTTGCTTCGATCCCATATCCCTCCACCACCCAGTTACTCCTATAAAAACCTTCCTTCTATTAACCACTCCTTCACACCACAAACAGACACGCACTCTTCACTACTTCACCTTGCTCACTTATCCTCCTCATTATGGGAAACCTCCAACTTGTCATAGCCACCCTAGCCGCCATACTCATAGCCACCGCCACCCTCCCGGCAACCGTCGTGGAGGGCGCCGTGGCCGACATTGTCACTCCAGATTTCTTCAACAGCATAAGAAACCAAGCACCAAACAGCTGCGCCGGGAAAAATTTCTACACTCGTGATGCCTTTCTACAGGCCGCCAACTCCTACCCCAACTTTGGCAACCGGGGATCCCTCGCCGGTTCGCAGCGCGAGATCGCCGCCTTCTTTGCCCATGTAACCCACGAAACCGGAAGTAAGCAATATACTTAACTATAACTCGTCCCGTCCCATGCAAATTAATTAAGTAACATTTTTCTTTAACAACGTGTTGGTCGACGTACAGGCATGTGCTACATTGAAGAGATTAACCGCGCCACTTACTGCGACACGAGGCAGTACCCGTGCGCGCAGGGCAAGCAGTACTACGGCCGGGGCCCGCTCCAGCTGACGTGGAACTACAACTATGCGGTGTGCGGCCAAGCCCTCAACTTCAACGGCGTCGGAGACCCGGATGTCGTGGCCAGGGACCCGGTGCTAGCGTGGAGGACGGCGTTGTGGTTCTGGATGACCAACGTCCGCCCCGTCCTGCCTCAGGGCTTCGGCGCCACCATCCGGGCCATTAACGGCATGGAATGTAACGGCGGCAACGCGCCCGCCGTCCGGGCCAGGGTGAGCTACTACAACTCCTACTGCCAGAGGTTCGGAATCCAGCCCGAGGCTAATACCGGCTGTTGATTACTCCATCCATCTTCCTCGGCGACCAGCGAGGACCAAAATAAATAGCTAGCTTCGGAACAATTAATGGTGTGTATTTGTTCGGATCGGAGCGAAGCCCTGGGCTCGACCGTCGTTTATTTTTACTTATTTCATTTTGAATGTACGTTCATCTTCCTACTTTCTGGCATCGCATTGTAGCCCTCTTAATAAATAAATAAATATAAGATTTTAAGCTTCTTCCCTTTTTCCTTTATTTCTCGCCTCAAGTTGTTGACTCAACTTTCCAAATTTGCGTGTGGAAAAAAGAAACAGAAGTGGTCTTTGGTCGCATAAGCAATAAAGGTTTGTACGTAGCGTCCGGATCCTATCAGTAACCGACCTATCAGTAACGGTCAGTAACCGTCCATCTGACCGTCCATCGCGCCATCTTCCCAACCGTCAGATCATGGCAATTAAATACACGCGGGGGCAAAAAGGTAATCACACCTTCTCTCCTTCTGACAATTTGAATTGCAGACGTGACCGCGACAACCGTCCCGCCTTCTCTCCATTCTTCCTCCCGTTCCTCTATTCTCTCACCCAAATCGCAGCAAAAACTTCCTAGAAAAAACTTCAAATCGAACGATTTTTGCAAAGCTATTCGAAGAATCATTCAACGAAACTCTTCGTCGAAAAACGAAGGGTTTCCAACTTCAACGAGTCTCAAAAATCGTTTTCGCACAAAATATCAAGGTAAAACCTCACTTCTTTCTTCGAAATCCATCCATAGAATAATAGAAACAGTATTTCAGTCACTCTTCATGTGAAAATTGTAGTAAAACTTGCTACATTACCGAATCGTTAGCATGCATTGCTGAACTGGTGTAGAATCTGTTGTGTTTTGCTTCGTTACCACATGGTATGGCGTGGTAAACTATGATTGCACGTTATAAAAAAGCAAAAAACTATGTTTTGCTTTGTTACCATATGGTAATGTGTGGTAAGCTATGGTTTCATGTTGTAAAAAAGCAAAAAAACCATAAGTGCTGCTGTGTTTTAGTTTGTTACCATATGGTAATGTGTGGTAAGCTATGGTTTCATGTTGTAAAATAGCAAAAAAACAATAAGTCCTGCTGTGCTTTAGTTTGTTACCATATGGTAATGTGTGGTAACCTATGGTTTCATGTTGTAAAATAGCAAAAAAACATAAGTTCTTCTGTGTTTTAGTTTGTTACCATATGGTAATGTGTGGTAACCTATGGTTTCATGTTGTAAAACAGCAAAAAACCATAAGTCCTGCTGTGTTTTAGTTTGTTACCATATGGTAATGTGTGGTAACCTATGGTTTCATGTTGTAAAAAAGCAAAAAACCATAAGTCCTGCTGTGTTTTACTTTGTTACCATATGGTAATGTGTGGTAAGCTATGGTTTCATGTTGTAAAAAAGCTAAAAAACAATAAGTGCTGCTGTGTTTTAGTTTGTTACCATATGGTAATGTGTGGTAAGATATGGTTTCATGTTGTAAAAAAGCAAAAAAACCATAAGTGCTGCTGTGTTTTAGTTTGTTACCATATGGTAATGTCTGGTAAGCTATGGTTTCATGTTGTAAAATAGCAAAAAAACAATAAGTCTTGCTGTGTTTTAGTTTGTTACCATATGGTAATGTGTGGTAACCTATGGTTTCATGTTGTAAAACAGCAAAAAACCATAAGTCCTGCTGTGTTTTAGTTTGTTACCATATGGTAATGTGTGGTAACCTATGGTTTCATGTTGTAAAAAAGCAAAAAACCATAAGTCCTGCTGTGTTTTACTTTGTTACCATATGGTAATGTGTGGTAAGCTATGGTTTCATGTTGTAAAAAAGCTAAAAAACCATAAGTGCTGCTGTGTTTTAGTTTGTTACCATATGGTAATGTGTGGTAAGATATGGTTTCATGTTGTAAAAAAGCAAAAAAACCATAAGTGCTGCTGTGTTTTAGTTTGTTACCATATGGTAATGTCTGGTAAGCTATGGTTTCATGTTGTAAAATAGCAAAAAAACAATAAGTCCTGCTGTGTTTTAGTTTGTTACCATATGGTAATGTGTGGTAACCTATGGTTTCATGCTATAAAAATGGAGGAAAACATACGTCCTGTTGTGTTTTACTTCGTTACCATATGGTAATATGTTATAAGACATGGTTTGATGTAATTACCATATGGTAAAATGAGATAAATATATGGTTTGATTTCGTATGGTAGGAAACCATTATCGTACCATATGGTATATTATGGTAAAAAGCATACTAACAGACTATTACTAATTTCTACATTCAGGTACACTATGGTAAAACCAAGACACAGTTTTCGCACAAGGTGCAGCCCAACAAGAATATCTGCAATTGCAAGGTCAATAACAGATGATCGGAAAGAGCAACTTGACATATTAGGCCTAGCAGGCTTAATATCAATCAAGCAGACAAAGATAAACAACCATTTTGCACTGTTCGTAATGAACAAATACGATCCAGAGAAAGAATCGTTCAAGTTACCTGACGGGACACACATGAAGATATCACCAATCGACTTTCATAGGGTATATGGTCTGCCGATGGGGGATAGGGAAGTTGTACCTCCCACGATTTCTTGGGATGACGCAGCAGATTATGCAGTAGAAACCCTACTCGAAGTAGATGGAACATCCACTCCAAGGGTAAAGCTAAGTCAGGTAGAAAAAGATCTTCCTACAACCAAACTGACTAAGAGATGGATGCAATTGTTCTTTCTGATGGTCACCGGAGGCTTGCTGTGTCCAACTTCAGCACCTATGGCTGAACTCAACATGCTTGAGTACTTGAAGACCGAAGAACTGAAACATTTCACCAGCTACAACTGGTGCAAATACTTCTTCAAACACATGAATGAAGGATTGAAATCACCAAAGCTCTATGTCAGTGCAGATCTTCACTTCCTTACAGTAAGTCTCCATTCCCTTGGCCATTTCAACCTTGTTACTCATATATTTTATATATAAATGATACTCTTTGAAAAAAACTAATACAACTATCTGCATAAAAAGGTATGCTTCATGTACAAACTGGACGAAATGGCATTCTCAACCCAGCTTCGAACACCAACAGTAAGCTACTATGATGATAACAATGTTGATAGCAACTTTGAGAACATTAAGAGCTACTACAATGGAAAAGAGTTGAACGAGATCGAAAAGCTTGCCAACATTAATGACGATGAGGCTGATGGTGCAGCTGATGAGGAAGAGGAGAATGAGCCAGTCTATGAATCACCGAAAAGACAAAGAAACAAAAGTCCAGACCAGTCATCATCACTGAACTTTGATTTGAAGAATATCAGAACAGTCAACCAAGTAAGTACAAATTATCTATATTACAGTTGTCCAATTAATACTAAGCGTAAGTCCTTTTGTGTTTTAGTTTGTTACCATATGGTAAGGTGTGGTTAGCTATGGTTTCATGTTATAAAAATGGAGCAAAACATAAGCCCCTGTTGTGGTTTACTTCGTTACCATATGGTAATGTGTGGTAAGCAAATGGTTTCATGTTATAAAAATGGAGGAAACCATAATTCTTGTTCTGTTTTTCTTTGTTACCATATGGTAATGTGTGGTAAGCTATGCTTTCATGTTTTAAAAATAGCAAAAAAACAACAAGTCCTGCTGTGTTTTAGTTTGTTACCATATGGTAAGGTGTGGTATGCTATGGTTTCATGTTATAAAAATGGAGGAAAACATAAGTCCTGTTGTGTTTTAATACGTTACCATATGGTAATGTGTAGTAAGCAATGGTTTCATGTTATAAAAATGGAGGAAACCATAATTCTTGTTCTGTTTTACTTTGTTACCATATGGTAAGGTGTGGTAAGATATAGTTTCATGTTATAAAAAATGCAGAATAGTGATAATAATTGCCAATACCATGTATTACCACCATGGTATCTTACAAAAACTCCCATTATGCAGGCTGAGAATGCAATCAAACTGCTTGCAGCATCAATGAAGGCAATGATGAAAGCAATCAAAGACCAGTACAAAAGCCAAATTGACAATCTGATCAGACACAAGGAGAATCTTGCGAAAGAAAGCTGTGATGAAAATGTTCAGCCAACAGAAGGAGAAAAATTTCAGTGTGAAGATGATGAAGAAGAGAATGATGAAGAAATGAATGCCAGTTTGAATAAAACACTCAATGAAATATTCAAACAGGCAAATATAGACCAGAACAAAGAGGAGAAGGAGGAGCAAACACAGAAAGAAGATGATTCACAACCATCTACAGTCGATCTTGCTGCATCTACACCGAAGCCAAAAGAAAAGGAGCAAGATGTTTCTGATCCAGGAGCTGTGAATAGGGAAAGCATCCCAAAAGAAGGAGGTCCACTGGGGGAAGTTGCAACAGAACCACCAGAACAATCTGTTCAAGAAGGTCTGAATCAGGGAACACCACAACAAGAGGACACCCCGAAAGCAGTTCCAGAACAGACATCTGCAAAAGAAACAGGAGAAAAAGGAGCTACCAAAACAGCAGATCCAATGGAAGTTGATAAGGAAACAACAGAAGAAGGGAATACAGGGCAAGCTGCGCAAAAGACTCCAGAAACTGACAGCGAGAAAACGGTGTCAGATGATGTTGTTCGAGAAGAGGCTCCAAAACTGACAACCAAAGATGCTGAGAAGCCTAAAGTGACAAGGGAAGACGACATTCCATCCTTTGATCTCAGCCCTCTCAACCGTCAAACACCAACAACACCAACGAAGTTGACTACCAACACGGCAACCGATCAACCAGGAGAGCCTCGCAAAAGAAGAATCGTGGTGAAGAATTTGAATGTATATGAAAAGAAGGCAAGAACAACACCACCACCAGCACACCCACAAAGCACCCAGTCACAGACGGCGTCATATGCTATATGGTCAAATCTGTACACAAACAGCCAAGAGAAGCTCAAGGAAGTCCGTGAATGCATAGATGCTTACCTTGAGGACCTGAATTCTCCAACTGTTGATCCAGTTGCTCCACAATCACAAAAAACACCAGTTGAATGGTCAACACCAACACAAACAACACCTGATGATATGTTCACCAACATCTTGGAGTACATAAGATGCAAGAACAAGAAATTTGTCAAGAGGTAAGTCATCATCTTAAAACTTCTACTGTTATATGATTTTACTGTAGTGATCTAGTTTGTTACCATATGGTAAAATGTGGTAAGATATGGTAAAATTAGATAAATCTAT